ATTTTCATTTTCATAAGCTTTCACAGTTTTAATTTTTTCATTTCATGAGCCTTCATTCTGAAGAGAATGAACGTCCGTTTTCGAGAATCGTAAAAATCTGAACCAGTTTTATTGATATTACATACCAGCGCCTGTGAATTCTGCTCAACTTCAGAGATTATGCAGTTGTTTCCAAGTGAATTCTGAAGAAAAATTCAAACATATTCTGTTATACCAAATATTCAGTTATTATATTTCAAAAAGCTATCGGTTTTTGTCATTTAAAAAATGTAAATAATTTGAAGATGGTACCAAAATAGTTGCAGTGCTCGGGGATGTGGCTCGTTGTGTTTTTCACCATGTGGAAAACTAGTGGCGTCTGGTTATTGGGATGGCTCAGTGCGTGTGCACTCACTTCGAAGTGGCAAAATCCGTGCTTGTATCACTCTCCATTCAAACTTAATCAATCATTTGTGTTGGTGTAATGTCGAGACGACGAGAATATTATTCGTCGCTTCTGATGACTGTAAACTTTCAATATGGAATCTGCATAAAGATCGGTAGTGATACTTGGCATCAGACAAATTTGTCTGCATCGAGTACATATGCTCGATTCGGCTGTCTATCCATCTGTTTGCAAAAATATCTCCCAGTTTTGTGTCTAGCCAGAATAATAAGGTCGAAACCCGAATTATTGACGACCGAGCTGTCAAAACCGAGAACAAATGAATGAATGGTGCAATGAGAGTTTGGAAAGTGTCAAAGAATTTGAAGTGTGATTCTTTTTTCATTTTCCAAAAAATCCTTGTCAAAATCTATGCTGATTGCAAACATCTGTGCGATGTGTCTTAAAAATTTCACGAAACACATTTCATCGGCTTTCGATAACTGCCAATTCAATGAATAAACATCTGTCGCGAATGTTCGTTATACTGAATAGTGCTGACGATTAATCAAGTGAATTAAAGTTAGGGTTAACTGATGCAAGGAAATACTATCGTCTAAAAGTTGCTGTTGTTGTTGCGTTCGTTTATATTTGGTATGTATCAATTGATAACCTTGAACGGACACTTGATTGTATTCAGTGAACCGTATAATAACTTCTGTCGTAGATGCTGAAATCAATTAGTGAACATCAATGATTCGATTTCGATCGTTTTCGTGAGAGTGAATCAACTTGTTGAACTGATTCTCTTAATCAATCTTCAGTTAATGGTTGAACACTCAGATTGCTGTAAGAACTGTTTAGACTTGTTGTAAATGGTACACATTTTGACAAATATACATTCATCATTTCTGTTTTACTGAAACTGCATTCAACTAGACGCGACTGTAACGAATGAAAAACAGTAATGACATTTCGTAGTGGTTCTTCGTTATTTTGTTTTTCCACCACAACAAACAATGATTCCTTCCCAATTGATATCGAAACGACGTGACCCGTATCCTATGAACGCAGATTATGCACAGGTTAAAAGGTTAACGAAGTGATCTTTGACAACTGAAAAAGTGACAGCTCAAATGAAGACACCGAGAGATTGCCGAAATTTTTTGATGAGAAGAATTGAATAAATCATCTTTTCAGATGCAATTTTTCAGTGTGACACAATATTTGGTCTCACTCATTCATCGAAATGTTTTTTTCGTCCATCAGTTGTTATTGAAGGAAATCAATCTTACGTTTTTTTGTAGCAAATTTAACGTGATATTGAGTCTAATTGGAAATCAAGAACTTTTTTACTGTGAAACATCGAAATATCACATCAAGAACAAAGATAAGTTAGAATTTCGTTAT